GGGCTGGGCCGGAGGCGTCGGTGCCCCTCGGGGTGAGGGTCTTGGGTGTGGGAGCTTCGGCTCAGGTTAGGTCACACTGTCAGGGCAGCCCTGGAATGCTGAGTGCAGTTTTGGTGCATGCTGTATGATAGGATGAGGGGGAGCGGTTTTACACCGAAAGAGGGGAGATTTAAATGAGATAGCAGGGAGAAATTGTTGACTGTACTGGTGGTGAGCCCCTGGTGCAGGTTGCCCCGAGAAGCTGTGGCTGCCCCATCCCTGGAGGTGTTCAAGGCCAGGTTGGACGGGGCTTGGAGCAACCTGGGCTGGTGGGAGGTGTCCCTGCCCAGGGCAGGGGGTGGCACTGGATGAGCTTTAAAGGTTTCTTCCAACCCAAACCATTCTATGAGTCTCCATAAAAAAGGCCAGGTTGGAGAGGGTCTGCATAAGGGCCACCAAGATGATCCAGGGCCAGGGAAGCTGCCGTGTGAGGAAAGGCTGAGAGAACGGGGTTTGTTCAGCCTTGGGAAAAGGCGGCTCGGGGGAGACCTTATCACCACGTTGGAGTCTTTAAAGGGTGGCTACAAAACAGATGGAAACTCCCTTTTCACAAGGGGTCACATGGAAAAGAGGAGGGGTGATGGGTACAAGTTACTCTCGGGGAGATTCCGATTGGTCACAAGAGGAAAATGTTTTACAGTGAGAACCACCTGCCACTGGAATAATCTCCCCAGGGAAGTGGGGGATTCCGTAGCATTGGACACTCTTAAGGTTCGGCTGGTCACGGTGCTGGGCCGTCTCGTCTAGACCGTAGCCTGTGCCAAGAAAGATTGGACCATATGATCTTTGAGGTCCCTTCCAACCTGGGATTCTATGATTCTATGGTAAAAATGAGGCTCTAGACCCTGAAAATGAGGCTTTGAAACATAAAAATGGCTATGGAAAATAAAAATGAGGCTTTGGACTCTATAAATATAGCTTTGGACAGTTAAAAAAAAAAAAAAAAAGGCTTTGGGCCCTAAAAAGAGGGGTTTGGACCCAATAAATGATGCTTTGGATCCTGAAAATGCAGCTTCAGACCAAATAAATGCAACTTTTGACCCTATAAATGAGGATTTAGACCCTAAAAATGAAGCTATGAACCTTAAAATAAGTCCAAGAAAGGTTGGACTGCATGATCCTCGAGGTCCCTTCCAACTTGGGATTCTAGGATTCTTAAAGGCAGCGGAGAGCTCTGGCTAAGCCTGGCTGATCCTGGCAGCTGCTGAGCTATTTTGGGTGGCGAGGGCTCCGCCGAGCCTCTTAAAGCTCCTCGGAGATGCCCTTTCAAAGCCAACGAGCCCCAGGTTCAGCCAGGGGCTGTGTCTCACCAGGGGATGCTCCCAGGGCAGCTCAGGCCACGCCGGTGGCTTTTGAACAGCTGTCGGTTGATTTAATGGAGGTAGAGTGCTCCGCTTGCCTCTCTAACCCGGCTGTCAGCCTAATGCTCACCGTTCCTCATCATCCGGCTGGCGCAGAGAGCCGACATGCAGGCAGTGAACCTCTGCACAGGTTCTGCCAGACCCCTGCAGCACCCAGGGTTCTTCAAGCATCATTTAGTGACAATGAATTAATTAAAATCAAGGCTGGGAGCAGGGACACAGGCTGTCGAGCACTTTTACCCAGCAGGAAGCTCTGTGCAATCGTGGTGCCTGGTCTGAAAAACAAACCGCAGGGCTTGCGTGGGAGTGTTACGCCAGATATCTATTAATAAATGTTTTCTAACGATGCAAATCAAGGTGCATCAGCTGCTGGCTTGGGGGTGGAAAAGGGCCAAGAGCGGATGGGTTTGCTAATCCCGGCTGTGGTTTCCTGTCTCCTTGCAGGGTGCAGATGTGAACTGCATGCACGGCACTCTGAAACCGCTGCACTGTGCCTGCATGGTGGCTGACGCCGACTGCGTCGAGCTTCTGCTGCAGAAGGGAGCGGAGGTAAAGGCTTTTAAAGAACAAAAACAAGTTAAAAATGCAAAGATCCCTTTGAAAAGGGGCCTGGAATTCGGGAGGCGGTGGTGGGTGCTGATAAACAGCTGAGATTTGAGCTGATGGTTTTAAGCAGTGCGGGTTTTGTGCCTTCTCACAGCGCAAATTGGGTCTGGGTGAAGGTTTATCCTCCCTGTAAGGAGGGAGATGTTTGTGTCTCAGAGCTTAGAGGTGCCCCGTGTCTGGGGAGGGAGGGTAGTTTTGTGGTGCAAGCCTGAAGAAAGAATTGAAACCTACATATTGCCTCATTTTTGGCACTTCCTTCTGGCTGCCAGTACGTTGTACCCCCCACTTCCTGCATTGTTTTCCCATCTGCTAAATTTGGGATGTGGAAACGGTTTCACACAGCGCTGGCAGAGCTTCCCCCGCTGCCGGCAGGAGTTGGGATACCTCGGTGATCCCCGAATCCTTTCTCCTCCCTCCCCTTCTCTTGCAGGTCAATGCCCTGGATGGCTACAACCGAACAGCTCTTCACTACGCAGCGGAAAAGGATGAAACCTGTGTGGAAATCCTCCTGGAGTACGGGGCCAACCCCAACGCGCTGGATGGCAACAAGGACACCCCGCTCCACTGGGCCGCCTTCAAGAACAACGCCGAGTGCGTGCGGTCGCTGCTGGAGAACGGCGCCTTGGTGAATGCCCGCGATTACAACAACGACACGCCGCTCAGCTGGGCAGCCATGAAGGGTAACCTGGAGAGCGTCAGCATCCTGCTCGACTTCGGGGCCGAGGTCCGGGTGGTTAATTTGAAAGGTCAAACCCCCATCTCGCGGTTGGTGGCGTTGCTGGTGCGAGGATTGGGTACAGAGCGGGAGGATTCCTGCTTCGATCTTCTCCATCGAGCTATCGGACATTTTGAGCTGAGAAAAAACGGCAGGATGCCCTGGGAGGTGACCAGGGATCAGCAGCTCTGTGAAAAGCTCACCCGGCTCTGCTCAGCCCCCGGTACCCTACAGACGCTGTCCCGTTATGCTGTGCGCCGCAGCCTGGGCGTGCGGTTCCTGCCGGAGGCGGTGAAGCAGCTGCCCTTGCCCACCTGCCTGAAGGAGTACGTGTTACTCCTTAGCTAAGCAAAAGACGAGGCGCCGGGGCTCTTCCCCGCCAGCGTTCAGCTCCCTTTGTCACCGCTTCCTTGTGGCAGCGCCGGGGATGAGATTCACCGCTTGGTTTGGGACTTGCAGGTGCCAGATTCTCCTCCCCGGTCGCCGTCCCGATTTTCCTTCTGCTCTGCTCTTCCGTCTGAGCCGGTGCAGGGCAGCGGAATCCCCCAGTGCTGCTCACAGACGGCCCCGTGTCGTCTCCCTGCCCACAGCGCCTGCTCGGTGGCTCCTCACACGCGCTTTCCCCTCGATTTTGGTCTCGTGAGATGAAGGATCCCCCTTTAATGGCAAATTATATCCCAGCTGTTGGATTAACCTTTTTTTTTATTTATTTTATTTTTCTTTTCCTTGCATTGGGGCAGACCTTGGGGAAGGGAAGGAGGCTTCTGGGTGCAGGGAGGATGGGGAAACCCTCCTTCTTTGAAGGACCTGGGGCAGGAAATCAAGAAGGTGGTGTTGGACCCAGAGAAGTCCTGTGGGACGTGATGCCTGGAAGTCCGGTGGAAAAGCCCACCTTAAGTGTGCGTAGCAAGCCTGTATTTTGTGTAACTGTGCAGGCTGGCACCTTCGCTCAGCGCCAACACCCACACACAGCCGCAGCACAACACGCCGCAGACGGGGCAGAGCTTGTGTGCCCGCAGGTCCCAGTGCTTCGGGCAGACATGGGGTATCCCTTCAACACATGGAAGTGTATTTTCCCTTCTTATCTATAATTTTTAAGATGCATCAGCGCTGTAGTGGGGACGAGGGTGGGAACCAACGCTTTGGCTGTAATTTGCGTGAGTGGAGGAAATGTTTCCCTCCATCTCCGGAGTAACTCTGCTCGGAGCGCAGGATGCTCCCTGTCCCTGAGCAGAGGGTTTCCCTCCCATCTGCCACGCAATAACCCACCCGAGCTCTTCCTTAGCTTTGGTTTTGCGCCATCAACTCGTCGCTTTGTTGTTGATTTTATTTATGTGTGTGTGTATATACAGATTTTAGAAGGAGGCGTGAGGAGATGCTGGCAGCGAGGCACCGGGCAGGACCCCCGTAGGCAGTGCCAGCTCTCTGTTTGGCACGGCTCGCTTCCAACAGCAGCAGTGTCCCCGCACACACCGTCATGTATTCACGGAAATAAAGGGCTCACCGTGTGCTGGAAGGTGTGTGCATCACACACTTGTGGCCAGGGCTAGCAACGGGGTGCAGGGGGTCAGCCCTGCTCATTTGGGGTCCTCCCTGAACAGGGCGGTTGTATCAGGTGGGGTTTGGGGGTGCTGCTGCCGCTGGTTTTGTTCCTGGGCTTGTTTTCGGCACCACATACGGTCCCCGTCACACCTCTGAGAACCGTAACATCACCCTCTCTGTGGTGACGTTTTAAAACATCATTAAAAGCTCACACCAATGAGTTCTGATCCCCCTCGCTGCTCCCAGTCCACCTTCATGCTCACACCTCTGCCCTTGGCTGGGTTTTCTTGGGGATCTTAATGATGCATTGAGCTGCATCATCTTCCGTGTGCGCATTCCTCACCCAGGGAACCCGGGAGAGCCTCCCCATGCTCCCGAGGTGAAGTCAGGCAGGTAAAGATAATTGCTTTATGGGAGAAACTTTGGGGAGAAAAATCAGGTTATGTGTATTTTATTCCTCCCTGTTGTGCTGGGAAATGAAGCTGTCGGGACCAGGGGTGCGTGTGGGGCTACAGGAGCCGTGTTCCCCTTCCCCAGGGGGTGAGCGCTGGAGGGTTGAAACCCAATTTGTGTTTGCCACCACGAGTGAGTGGTGAGTTTATTGAAGCATCTTAATTCTGAATTTTTAACACTAAAGTGGTGCCCTAGGGACTCTATCCAGACCGCTTGCTCTCAGCTTATCGCAACATCCCGCCGCAACACTTGGGGAAATGCTTTTCTGTTTAAAAAGCCTATAAAATACCTAAACCAACCCAAAATTTACCCCGAGGAAACCTTCTGCTTCAGGAAAACCACTCTTTTGCCGAGGTATTCTCGGGGTGTGGAGGTGCTGCCTGGCTTCCCCAGGGGGAGCGAGCTACAACGGGGAGCACTTGTTTCGGAGGTTCCCCCGAGCGACACAGGGACACGCTCCGGGGCGGGGGAAGCTGTGCCAGCCGTCACCTTTTAGATGTTGGACTCGAATGACATGCTCTTGCGCATGACGTGCTCCAGGTGGGCTTTCTCTGAGGTGTCCAGCTCGATGTGGTACTTAGCCAGGATTTTTAGGATGGGGCGAAGCTTTAGCCACCACTGCTCCTTGGGGATGCGGTGCCTGGGTGAGAGAGAGAGAGAGGGTGGCGTGATGGTCCCGGGTGGAAACAACACGGCATCGCCTGGGACGGCATTCCCAGCTTCTGTTTAACAATCCACTGCGGCGCTCCAGGTGTGGGGCAGAGCGGCTGGAGGTGTTGGTCGCCAGTCGGCTGAATGTGAGCCAGCAGTGTGCTCAGGTGGCCAAGAAGGCCAGCAACATCGTGGCCTGTATCAGGACTAGTGTGGCCGGCAGGACTGGGGCAGTGATAGTCCCCCCTGGACTCGGCACTGGTGAATACCATGTTCGGTTTTGGGCCCCTCACGACAAGAAAGACACTGAGGGGCTGGAGCGTGTTCAGAGAAGGGCAACGGAGCTGGTGAGGGGTCTGTAGAATAAGTCTTGTGAGGAGCAGCTGAGGGAACTGGGGATGTTCACCTGGAGAAAAGGAGGCTGAGGGGAGACCTTATCACTCTCTACAGCTCCCTGAAAGGACGGTGTAGTGATGGGGGTCGGTCTCTGCTTCCAAGGAACAGGCAACAGGACAAGAGGAAACGGACTCAAGTTGCACCAGGGGAGGTTTAGGATGGAGATTAGGAAAAAATTCTTCACCGAAAGGGTTGTCAAGCATTGGACCAGGCTGCCCAGGGAAGGGGTGGAGTCGCCATCCCTGGAAGCGTTTAAAAGCCGGGCGGACATGGTGCTGAGGGACATGGCTTAGTGGATTTGGCAGTGTTGTGTTGATGGTTGGACTCGATGATCTTAAAGGTCCCCTCCAACCTAAGCGATTCTATGATTCTATTCTATGATTTATCCTTCCTGGGGCTGGGGCACAGTCTTGGGGCGGGGTGAGGGGGGGGAGGATAAAAGGGGGGCACGTACTCGAAGTCCGTTTGCTCCTTGAGGTCGGCAATGGGCTGGAAGACGAGGCTGCGCTTGCGCATGCCCAGCAGACACGCCGAGTCGGCAGTGTTGGTGAAGATGCGACCTGCGAGGGGAGGCGGGGAGTGAGCTCAGCATTTCGGACCCTCCGGGAGGGGGAAAGCACCCCTCCAAAATCTGCAGGGAAGCCCTCAGTGTTGAGGGATTGGAGCACACATGCCCGTTGGGAAAGAGCCGGGGATTTGCTTTTGGCAGTGGGGAGGCGTAAGGGGTCTTTGGAAAGAAGGCAGAGAAACCCTCCGCAGTGCGGTACCCACCATGCCGGGAGCACTCCTTGATCTTCCCGGTGATCCAGGCCACCGCCTTGGCACCCATTTTGGTGCCGAAGTTCCTGTCGAAGGGGGTCGGGGTGCCACCCTGTGCCAGAAGAATCAGTGGGTGAACAGGGGGAAGTCCCGGGTGAGGGTCTCCCGACCCACAGCCCCTTCCCTGGGGGAGCCGCGCTCCCGTTGCCTGAGGGGGTCCGGACCTGCTGCATGTGCCCCAGCACGTTTTTCCGGCAGTCGAAGATGCCCTTCCCTTCCTCCGAGTAGAGGTTGTAGATGAAGTCGGTGGTGTAGTTCTCGTTGCACCGCTCGTTCCTGCGCAGTCAGGGGAGGGAGGTGGGCTCAGCACGGAGGGGGGGGAGGCACAAGCACAGCAGGTCTCGGCCACCATCACAGTCCCCATCCCGTACTACCCCCTAATCCCTGTTCCACCCCACAATCCCTGTTCCACTAATCCATGTTACAACCCCCA